TACGGCACTTTGAGATTTTTCTTTTTGTCTTTGAGCTCAAATGTATGTTTACAAAAACTGTTTCACCTGCATTGCTGTGTGTTCAGGAAAATCTGCATGATCTTGGACAGGCTGCTTAACTCTATATAGCTAGCTACCCCATCATGAGACTATAGGAATGACTGAACAGGTTAATCAATGTGAAGTGTTTAGAATAGGATCCCGCTCACTGGTGGTCAATAAGTGTTTTGCTAATTGTGAAGACTTCTGCTCAGTTATTTTCCTTGACCAGGTTTGGCTCATCATTTTTCCATATTTAAATTGTAGTTTTTGACAACTGTAACCATTTTTTAACCCTAAAACTTTAGATTCTTCTCTTCTTCCCACCTTTAAATGCAAGTCAACATAAGAAGTTAGTAGATTTTTTTGTTTTTTTGTTTGTTGAAGGGCACATACACTTATCAGAAACAGAGAGAAAGAGAGGAAGAAAGCGCCCCAATGGGTACTGTCACACCGCAATGCTTCTTCCTCCATTTTTCCTTCCTATAGGATGTTGGGCACTCACACACATCTGGCATATTTTTCAACTCACCAGGCCAGGATTTGAACTGTACATCGTTGGCTATAGGGACCCAGCTCCCAATGCATAACACTTCACCAGTGTGTTGTAGGGCTGGCCCATGGAGATCTGAAAAGAAATTCTCTTTTAATGAATTAAACTCACTGCACTTGAATATTCAATTCTTGCCAAGACACAATTTCAATAATCATTTTAAATCAATTCATTCGTTGGGACCAGCAGTTGGCGTAACGGCTATGTTGCTGGACTCCCAGGTAGTCGACCATGGTTCAAGTCCTGGACCTAGTAGCTTAAACTCATGCCGGGCGCATATGCGTGTGTGCTCAAGATCCCGAGAAGAGAATAGAGGAGAAGGGATTGCAGCGTAGTCATCCCCCCAGGGGGTGATTTCTCGCTTTCTGTCTCTCTGTCTCTGTCTTTTTGGTGAGCACACGTGCCCTAAAAAACTTCTCCAAAGACAAAAACAAAATAATTCATTTGTGATGATTAAGACCACTAATGACCTATCAAAGAGGATCACCCTGAAAGGCATCACGAATGCTTGCAGTCAAGGATTCTCCAGGCCTTGGAAGGGATTTCTCAGCATCATTCCAGAAGATGTCTTGTAATGGCAGAAAGGTACTAAAACAGTGAAGACTTCAAGGTGCACTGATTGGAAAACCACCAAGATGGCGCGTGCAGATGGTAGGCGCTGAGACCCCGCTAAGTAAGGCATCGGTGTGTGAGAACGTTTCTGGGAGGATGCCTGTTATGCTGTAACAGAGGTTATGTAAAATGTGTTTGAGCAAGATAGTGACAAGGTCAGGTCTTCAGCAGGGCTGTGTGGGTACTGAGTGGGATGGGGTGGGGAGGGCTGGAAGCAGTTAGGGAAGCCTGAAGTCAGGAGACTCATTTAAAGGGTGCTGCAGTTGTCTGGTAGGAGTTGATGAGGCCTCTTCAGAAGTAGATGCAGTGGAGAAGAAAAGAGGAAATTAGATTTACTTTAGAAGCTGGAGCCCTGGGACCTAGCACAGACTAGGTGCTCAGTGAACACACACAATGGATGGATTCTGCATGAAAGACTGTTACAGTTGGTAGTTCCCAAAGACATTCCACGGGTCTCCCTAGGAAACCAGCCCCACTGACACTGTCACCCTCTTCTGACTCATTTCCTTAGCCCTGGGCCTTGGGGAGCAGGGTGGGGAAACAAGCTTATGGACAGGTGATCCAGGGCTCATGCCCCCCGGTGCTTCCTGCTGGCCCTACCACCTGGGAGTGTGACAGCAGTCCTGTTCCACCTGTGCCCCAGCTCCACCAGGCACCCTCCATGTGCACTGCTGCAGGCAGAGCTCTGGGCCAGGCACTGCAGAGGGCACCATCGCCACAGACCTGTGGGTTCTGCTTCCTTTGGGAGCTAAAGGGAGATAATTGCAAATGAGAAAGGGGGAATAAGAGCCAGGAAAATCAGATCTAAGCCTACGTGTGTGTGTAGACACACATGTCCCAGCTATCACATGCACACATGCATACACATGTGCACAAGCTACCACATGTGTGCACACAGAAACACGTGCATCAGCTACCACATGTGTGCATGCAGACACACATGCACCAGCTGCCAGGTGTGCATGCACACACACATGCACTAGCTACTACATGTGTGCATATAGACTCACATGCACCAGCTACCACATGTGTGCACACAGAAACACGTGCATCAGCTACCACATGTGTGCATGCAGACACACATGCACCAGCTGCCAGGTGTGCATGCACACGCACATGCACTAGCTACTGCAGGTGTGCATACAGACACACATGCACCAGCTACCACATGTGTGCACACAGAAACACGTGCATCAACTACCACATGTGTGCATGCAGACACACATGCACCAGCTGCCAGGTGTGCATGCACACACACATGCACTAGCTACTACATGTGTGCATATAGACACACATGCACCAGCTACCACATGTGTGCATTCAGACACACATGCACCAGATATAACATGTGCATGCAGACACAAGTGCACCAGCTATCACATGAACACATGCATATACATGTGCACAAGCTACCACATGTGTGCACACAGAAACACATGTGGTAGCTTGTGTGGTAGCAGACACACATGCACTAGCTGCCAGGTGTGCAAGCAGACACACATGCACCAGCTACTACATGTATGTGTGAAGACACACACCCACCAGCTACCATGTGTGTGTGCAGACACACATGCACCAGCTGCCACATGTACATGCAGACACATATGCACCAACTACTACATGTGTGCATGCAGACATATGAGCACCAGCTACCACTGTGTGTGCATACACACATGTACCAGCTCCTTTTGCACACATGCATACACAGATGTACCAGATACTGCGTATGTGTGCTCAGACACATGTGCACTAGCTATCACATGCACACATAGACACAAGTGCCCCATTTACCACATGCACAAGTATGTACCATATGCACCAGCTACCACATGTGTGCATGCAGACCACATACACCAGCTACCACCTGCACATATGCAAACACACATGCACCAGCTACCAAATGTGTGCGCATACACATGTGACTAGCTACCACGTGTGTACATACACACAGGCACCAGCGACCACACACACTTCCATACACATGTGTAGCAGCTAGCATATGCATGTGTGCAAATACACGTTCACCAGTTATCATAATGCTGCACGTGGAGGTGCTCAAAGTGCTTCTCAAGTGAGCGAGACACTGAAAGGCAGCGAGCAGGAGGACAGGGCCATAGAAGCTCAGCTCTTCAGGACCAGCTGACGGATGGAGCCAGTGGTCCGAGGAGGAAGAGCACTCCGCAGACACCTCCCCACGCCCTCGTGCATTTGACCTCCACTGGAAGCCCTGCGTGGCAGAAGACAGTGAGGGAGAGGGAATTAGTGTACTTATTCTGGTTTTCTCTGAGTCCAGTGCAGGGCCTGGCTTATAGTGTCCTGTTCAAATGTTGGCTGAATGGATGAAGGGGTGATGGATGGGTATGTGGGTGGATGGACAGATAGACAAATGAAATGAAGGGCTGAGTGGATGGTGGTTGGGTGGATGGACCGATAGACAGACAATTGAAATGAGAGATGAATGGATGGTGGCCAGGTGGATGGGTGAATAGATGGACAGAGGGGTGGGTGGATGAGAGACTATTCCTGTCTGGGTTTCAGAGGCAACAGCAAAACCGCTGCTCAGGGCATCAGAGGCCATGGTAGACAACTTTCCAGGATGGTGCCATGAGCCACCCACTGGTACCTGTGCCCCTGTAGAAGCCCTGCTTCTGAGTATGGGCCAAGCCTAGTGACTTTCTTCTAGCCAGAGTGCTGAAATGTCACTTTCATGAGTAGATCACAAGGCTGATCTCCATCTTCCTGGGCTCCCTGCTGCAGTCTGCTGAAGGGGAGAGGCTGAGGTGACAAGGATCTAAAGGAGACCTCCGCCTCCAGCTGGGGAGGAGCAGAGGCCCTCATCCATCAGCCCTCGAGGAGCTGCATCCTGCCGACAGCCTGCGGACTGGGAAGGGAGTCCTTTCCAGGGGAGCCTTGGGGTGAATCCCAGTGACACTGACGTCTTACTGCTGCCTGTGAGAAACCCTGAGCAGAAACTGCAGCCAGGCTGTGCCCAGATTCCTGAGCCACTGAAACCGGAGATAACAGATGGGTGTTGTTTTGAGTTACTGGGTTAATTTGTCACCAGCAGTAGACAACTGAAACAATGGCTCATTTGAGTTTCTATCAGTACGGGCATTGTGGCAGTTAGAGCAGCCAGTGATGGTCGTGGTTAAGGGCCGAGTTTGGGTACAAATTGGCTTGGGTTTGAATCCTGGATCCCCAGCGTTCTAGCTGTGCAGCTCTGGGTAAGATGATCAACTCTGTGAACTGTTTCTGTATTTTTGAATGGCCCCCGCTCACAGGGCTGATATGGGATGATGCGGAGGGATTGTGTAACACGCCTGCCCAGGGTCGGCATGCAGTCAGTGCAGCACAGAAGGAAATATTGGCAATAGTGACAAGGAGGAGGAAGATGGAGCAGGACTCCTCCCAAAGCCGGGGGCGCCCCTGCCTGGAGGCGATGATGCTGAGCCCGGATGGCGCGTGCAAGAATGAAGAGAACCCCACAGGACCCCAAGGCCTTTCCCGAATCTCGAGTTTGAGTGCCATGCAGTGCCTGGTTGCTGTGGGGACAGGTGGGTCACATGTACCAGGGCCCTTTGGGTGGGGCAATCATGTCACCTTGCACCGAAGCCATTCCCATCTCTCACCTTGAGTGGTACCGTCCCTCCTCACAACCTCTGGCCAGGTGTGCAGCCACCACTAGCTGGGCCCGCAGGCCAGGGAGGTAAACACCCAGCCAGGAAGTGATCAGCACGGGCACGGGGCCAGCTGTGCGCCAGGCGAGTCTGAAGGTCAGGAACACTTCCCAGGGAGGTTAGCCCAGACAGGATGAAGCCTTTGGCCGTGGGCTCTCGGGACAGAGTGGAAGTCTGTGGGTTTAGCTGGGGACACACCGGCCTGCCCCGAGGCCCCTGCGCCGAACAGAGGACAGGAGAGGGAGAACTGTCGAGGAGGCCCAACCCCAGGAGCTCCACGCTGGCAGGTGAGCAGATGGTTTTGGTATTTAACGAAACAATATGAAGCAAGAGAGAGAGAGAGAGAGAGTAGAGGTTACTGCTGGGGCGGTCGGTGACCAGCACCCCCCAGGCACGACTTCACCCCAAGGTCCCGACTAGTCTTGGCCTCACCACTCCCCTCCTGGGACTCAGCTTTACCATCTGTGAGTCAGGGTAACGATTCCTGCCAGGCCCTCTCCCGTCGCGGCTGTGGGGCCTGGGAGGTGGTAAACCGGAGAAGTGACACAGTTCACAGACCCAGTGTAGCGTGGCCCAGTGATGCAGGCCCCTAGTGAAGAGCTCCTACAGGTTCCAGACCGGCAGCAGCAACCATGCAGGTAAACGAAGCGAGGGGACCCTGTAAGAGTGGGGCCCTGGGCTGACAGGTACACACCCACAGCCGCCCTGATAATCACAGCATTTCTGAACGGGGACGCTTCTGGTTCCTGTGTGCTACGGCTCGGGTCTCCAGGGCAGGAAGCACTCCTGGGGAACAGAAGTGATGGCCCCCTCCCATCAGCCCCTCCTGCTAGGACAGGACAGGACAAAAGGCCCCCACCCCTTAGAACTTTCTGGACTTGTGTGCCCAACTGGCATCAAGCCAAAGCTCGGCGTGATTCATCTGTCTGGGGCACAGTTCTCTTGCACGGGACGGTGGCAGGTTCTTATTGACTCTCTTGACTTAAAGTTGGTGGCAGGTTCTTACTGGCTCTCTTAACACAGAAAGTGTCACATAGTCGCCAGCTACAGGGACCTGGGACTGGCGACGCCTGCACTCTGGACATTCCGGCACGTTCTGATCAGCCACATCTTTTTGCCTTTAGGGAATACGGCCATCTCGATGCAGCGAGGCCACTGCTCAAATGCACAGGGCATGTCCCGCAGCCTGCTCCCTCGTCCCCTCCCCTCTCTTTGGCCCCCGCCCAGACGTGCCCCTTCTGTTCACTCCTGCCCACATCTCGGGCACCCTTGGTGCTGCTTCACTTTGGGAATGTAGACACCACTGTCTCCTCTGGGTCTTGAGCTTCTGTTCGTGGAGGTTGATAGTCGGCCACCTCCCTCAAACCTGCTCGCAGCCCCCAGCCCCTCCCAGAGCCCCCAGAAGGCCAGAGTGTGATGCCAAGGGCAGCTAAATTTGGCACTCAGCTTCCGGCCCAGCAGCCAGAGATGGAGGGAGACAATTGCTTTGAGAGTGTCGCTTTTCCTGTGGGAAACTCGCCTCAGCCAGGACAGCCCTCACTGGGGGGACAAGCCAGCCCCAACCATGTGGGGCGGCCAGCTCTGACCACAGCCCTGCTGGCTTCGCTCGGGGACACGTGCGCCACTGGAGATCCCAAGGAGCTGGCGAGCCCTGAGGCAGACAGTCCGTCTCCCAGGACGGGGTCCTTTCCCCATCCTTGACCCCTAGAGTCACCCCAGTGGAAATCACCCCATCCCTTCACCAGATCAGTGCAGAGCACCTTGTCCATGCAAGGTTTTGCAGTAGGGTTGGGGGCAGACAGGGTGACGGTGGCCTTCAGGCTGGCAGAGCAGACAGCAGTGATGTGCTCCACCCTCGTGCCGGCCAGAAGCCCCCTCCCCGAGAGAGCACAGGACACCACTCACTCCAGGGAGGATTATCAGGTCACGGAGTTGAGAGGGCTCATGGCCGAGCTGAGCCAGGGTGCATCCGGGGCCCAGGGTCGTCTCTTCTCAGAGCCTTCACCCCACCCTGTGGCACCTTCAGGTAGCTGTGGGGGCAGGGCAGCCTGGGCCTTGGGAGATCCAGTCTTCCTCTGGGTCTGAGCAGTAAAGAGGGACCCAGCCTAGGCCACCCCTTCAGTACATCTGTTGGGAAAATAGCGCAGGCAGGTGATTAAAGGTCTCGCGTCTGGGAGCCTGGGCCCCACCATCCTTTGAGCTTTCTACCTCAACTCGCCTTCCCTTTGGGGTAGAGGAAATCAACCTGCTCAGATAAGGGTACGGGGACCATCAAAGGGATGGTAGGAGGCCTGCATGGAGAAGGTGGCGCTGGAGCTGAGCATCATTAGAGAATTTTAGAGCACGTGTTAACTATTTCGCAGGAGGAGGCGAAGGGCCGATGGGATGGCTCCGTGTCTCACAAAGTAAACGTGATGGTGTGGGGCTGAGTGCCACTGCTACCGGGACCACATGGCAAGGCCCAGGGTTTGCATCCTGGGCCGACCTGGACGTGCTGGGCGCACCCACGGGTGCACCTGTGATCTCGGCTGGCTGGAGGGCTGGGGGAGGATCGAGGCATGGCAAGGCCCTGTCAGGCAAGACGCCTCTCATCGTGAGCTGCACCCACAGTCAGAGAAAGAAGGGGCGGCAAGGGTTTCCTCCAGGAAAAGGGCGAGGCTTACATCAACTGTTTGAGGGCACTTGTCCTTGGCCGCCGGGATTGATAGCAAGGGCGGCATCAGTCCCGTGCAGGGCGGGGAGGCCCAGGGCAGATGTCTTCGCAGAAGCAGCCCTGCACCAGGTCAAGGTGGTCTTCGCAGGTCATGGTTCTGGCAGAGCCCGTGTGACAGCTGCGCGATCAGGCAGACGCCCCTTCCACGGCCTTCTCGGGCTCAGTTTTGTCAGGGCTGAATACAGGCTGACACAAATGACCATCCGATGCTGACGAGTGTTCACAGTCTCCAGCCTAGCTGGTGGGAGCCCTGTGCACCAGCTCTGGGGTCTCCCATAGCAGGAAGTTCTGATGGTCAGTTGTCCAAGTCTTTTATGAGTTTAAAAACAAGGCACTAATTTCTTATCTAGTATGTCCCCTGCCAGGGCCATGCCCTTCAAAACAGGCTCTCCAAAAGGTTAAGCAACTTGGGCAGTGCCCACTAAAGAGTTGAGCAAGGCTGGCCCAGTGACCTGATAGCTAAGGGAGCTGGACCCCACATGGACAACTCCAGTTTGAATCCTGGACCTGAAAGGTTGAAAAGCATGCTGGGTGCTGGAATCAACAAATGGCGTAATGGTTATATGGTTATATATATGGCTATATGGTTATATCACTGGACTCCCATGTAGTTGATTGTGGTTTGAGTCTCGGACCCGGCAGCTTAAAACTCACACCAGGCACATGTGCGTGTGTGCCCAAGATCCCGAGAGGAGATGGAGGAGAAGAGATTGCACCGAGGCCATCCCCTGGAGGGTGATTGCTCGTTCTCTGTCTCTCTGGGGAGTGCAAGAATTCTCTCTAAATAAATAAATAAGAAATCATGCTGGGCACATGTGCATTCATGCCCCAAATCCTAAAAGGAGGGAATGATGGAGAAAAATGGCAGCATGACCATGCCCCATGGGGGGTGGTAATTTCCCACTTGCCCTCTACCTCTCTATTTCCCTTTCTGTCTCTGCACGCATCCTCTGGCAAAATTTAAACACAACAACAACAAAAGGATTGAGAAGTTTGGAAACCTCTAAGGCAGGGACAGGAGGGAGGCAGCTGGGCCTGCGGCCCTTGGTCCCAAGTCCCTTCCTGAAGCAGCAGGGTTGGCCCAAGTGACTTGTCTGGGGAGCATTGCTCCAGCCACACACACAGCAACCCGGTCAACACTGCTGAGGGCACCGCTCAGTCCCCCGCAGCCGTGAACCCCTGCAGGCCGACTCTAGCGCACACGTCACGTGGCCCGGCACCAAGGTCTCTATGTGCTCGCCCTGTGTCAGCAGATTCAAGGGCAAAGCCTGCTCCCGGCTCAGGCTCCCCTTTCAGCTCAGCTGTCCCACCCCTTTACTACCCAAATGAGGAAATAGGAAAGATCTCCCACTCATCACCGATGTACTCAGCATTCCCGAGCCCAGAGGCCCACAAAGCCCAGCAATGGGCGAAACCATCCAAGAGCTTTGACTTTGCAAACCCTGGAAGACAGGCTGTACTCCTCCTGACGCTCTCGTAATCCGTCCGCGAGGCTGTGTCCATTATAGACACGTCCTGTTCTCACCCGAGAGAGAAAAACATTCCTTGGTGGATTCCTGAGCCTTAAAGGAAAGCTTTTTCTGCCGAGTTCCTTCTTAGGAAGTTGGCTTTGAACTCAAAACGATTTCGAAGTTCTTTGTTTCTGGACTACAAAGAGCATCTGCACATGGACGATCTTGTCTGGTGCTTGAGAGAGCAGGCGGGTGGCTGCCACTTTCTCCCATCTTCCGGACTCTTTGGAACTGGCTCTGAGTGAAGAGCGAAGTCGCTTGCAGTCAGCCACCTTGAGATCCTTGGCTCTGACAGCCAGCGACAAGCTCGGGGTCGAAATGAAGCTGTCGTGACGCTCGGTTAAGCTAACCAGGCCCACCTGGGCTTTTAGCTTTGCCACTTGGAAAAGCATTGTTACGGCTGGCTACTAACTCTGGGAGAAATGCCACAGAAGTCACCCAAATGACACAGCGTGGGAAGATGGCCAGGGTCTTTTGACAAAGAGGAGCATCGGGTCCCTCTAGGCCAGTGACCCTTGTGTGCTCTTCCCTGGCCTTGGCCTCCTCACCGCATCAGTTCCCCGCCACACCTCATGCAGCCAGGGCAGGGCCCAGCCTCCAGGCCACCTAACAGGCACCTGCTATGGAAGGCCAGAGCCCTCCTCTGACTGCAGGCTGGGCCACCTCCGACCTTTGCTCCTCTCTGGCCCCTAGCACAGCTTAAGGCTGTCTTTTGTTTTGTTTTGTTTCAGAAGAGGCTGTTTGCTTTAAGTTGGAATGTCTGCAATTAAGGGTGGTGAGAAACAGTTCAAAAGCCATGCTCTGGGCTGGCCGGTTGAAGTCCAGTGATTGAAGAAGCTGGATCCCATGTGGTCAACCTTGTGGCTCAAATAACAGTCCAGGTGGCTTGAAAAATGCCGAGGTAGTGTGGTGGTAGAGGCAGCTGGATCCCACGTGGCTGACAGCGGTTCGAGACCTAGACCTGGTAGTGGGAAGACATGGCAGGTACATGCCCAAAATTCCAAAAGGAGGGAGAAGTGGAGGAGAAGGGATTGCACTGTGACTATCCCCCTTGGGGGGGTGT